AAGAAGATGGCACTGCGGGAGGGGGGTGCACAAAATTAATTTAAGGAAGAGAACAGTAAAGGAGACGTTGGTAGAATAACAATCAGGCAGTAGAGGGATGGGAAGGGGGGGTGACTGGCGGGCGGGAGGAGGGCCTTGCCTGCCGAGCCACAGCAGCACCACCTACGGGCATGGTGAAGGGTTACAGAGAGCAACAAAGAGGCCCCTGCCTGGACACAGGAGTGCGGGTGCAGTGGGGAGAGAGCTTCTGCCTTCCAAACCTAGCTCAACATGCAGGCCAGAACAAATTGCGTATGCTCCTTGCGGGAAGGAGGCTTAGTGAAGTGACCGAAGGAGGTGAGAACTGATCCTCCCCCACCCCCTTTCTAAGGAGATTTCCCTCTCAACATCCAGGTAGTAGAAAAGAGAAAGGTCTAAAAGGGGCAGGATGGCAGGTATAAAAAAGGTGTCTTGATTCTCCTTTCATTGCTGGTCAGACTTTGATATGTATTTCCCAGTCATTTTCTTTCCTCACCGGACAGTGAAGGATACAGCTCCCTCATGGGGCAATGGAGGCCCCTCACTCAGCTACCCCCACCCCCTTCGTGCATTGCCTTGAAACTCTCAACCACCATTAGAAAGCCCCCAGGGAACCACCATGCCGAGAAGAGGAAGGGCAGGGTCTCCTCCACCCACCCACCCACCACCCAGAAAGACTGAGGTGGAGGGCAGGGAGAGAGGATGTAAAAGCTCTGCGGAGGGAGGGGGAGGAAAGTGGGATCAGCAGTATTTGTTGTGCTTCCAGCGAGGAAGGATCCGTCACATTTTTAATAATAATAAATACATGAAGACAGATTTGCCAGCACTGTTCTGGCTCCTTGGGAAGGATGGGGGAGGGGAGCCAATGCAGCTGCAGCAGAGACCAATATCTTCCCCTCCCCTCCCCCATTAGACAGATTCCATACTGCAGCGGCCTCCCCCTCCCCCTCGAACTGCAATCCTCCACAGCCCACCCTTTCCACCGTCCCTTCACACAGCTCTCCCCGCCCTCCTCAATCTCGCCCTTTCTCTCTACATCCCCACACTACTCTATCCTTTCTGCTCTGGTCCTCATTTAACACGGCCTTATTCCAGCAGGAGGAAACCCAAACACCCACCTCCCCTCACCCCAAAGCCCAGGCCTCTCCTACCAGTGCCCTTTGCTAGCTTACTCCCATCTCTCCCCACACAATGCCCACAGGAAGCCACCCAGCACATTTCAGCACTCCCTGGCTCCCACTGAAAGGGGCCACTCTTCTCTCCATTTTCATTTCGGTGTGGCTTCCTCGCTCACATCCTTAAATATGATGACTATCAAATTTGCTTGTGTTTAGGGGGTGTCAGGGTCTCAGGACTCAGTGACTACTGCCACCTATTGACCCAAATTTGTTCAAGATGGACCTTTAATACACTTCTTACAGAGCATCAACAGCTTAAACATGCAAAGGCATGGCTCTTGGGGCTTCTCTGAGACCCTCTGAACAATGAGATCAAAGGAACACAAAAGCAAGACTGGGCAGAGAGCCAGCGCAATGCCTTTCTGCATGCGCAGGCAGGAAGAGGCCCAAGGATGAAACAACTGAGGTCTCCTCAGGACCTGTAAGAAAAGGAGGGGACAGAATTTTTCTCAAGCAATGGTAAAAACTGTGTGCACGACAGAATGGATGAGCTTACACTGAGCAAAGGGTAGTATTTCACTAACACTTCATCACATTGGCCAAATCCTTGGCATGAATCTGGTATTTACAGAGCAAATGGATTACAGGGCATTCAGGACTGTGTCATCTCTCAGTCTGTACACCAGTCTGGAGTAGAGATGACAGAGAAACTGAATGCTCGAGGAGGACAAATCTACCCCGCACTATGACAACGGTTAGTCTAGTTTTGTGCCTTCCACACCCAGGGAGGATTGAGGTTTGAGCTCTCCACGGTGCTGAAACCTGATCTGCTGCCACCAGGTCACCCCTCCTCACGGTCCCCCAAACCTTCATAAAACCCTAATGAAGATTTGGAGGAAAAGATGGGATTTTGTCAAACTTTTGTCATACTCCTTAAGATGAAAAAAAAAAAAAAAAACTGAGGAAGAAACTAAATTAGATTGTCAGGTTAAAAAAAAAAAAAAAAAAAAAAAAACCAGGGCTGGAGAAATGGCACTGTCTGCTCTTCCAAAGGACCCAAGTTCAATTCCCAGCACCCACACGGCAGCTCACAACTGTCTATAACGCCAATTCCAAGGGATCTGACACCTTCACACTCATGCACATAAAATAATTATATTAAAAAAATTCAGCCTGAACAGAAATACAGAAGTGAACAATTGGGCAGGGCCAAACCTTGCGATTCTTATCCTGAACTCTGCTGCTCTATTGTGTTAACAGTGACTCTCAAACTGTTCTACAGAGGACTAAAGGTTTCTTGGGGCACCCTAGAAAGGAATGCCGGAATAGGAACTCTTAAGACCCCTCATCCCTACTCCAATAAAAGTAACCCCAGTTATACTTGTTTTACATTGACAATCTACATAAAATTCTGTCAATCTATATTATCTATTAGTGATGCTGATAGAAATATCCTCAAAAAAAAAAAATGTGAATGGTTGTTGGAAGTCTTTTTCTGGTAGTGCCAAAGGCCAGAAGTAACACATCCTGGAACTGAAGACTCACAAAGGTAGAAGTCTGTTCCGTCTACTGATATACCAAGAAGACCCAGAGTACAGATAGTGGTCTATGAAAGCAAGGCCTCTAGCAGAAATGAGGCAATCCATGATCTTACATCTTAATAAATTAGAAATAGCAGCCCAGCATGGTGGGGTCTGCGTATAATCCCAGCATTTAGGCGGAGGAGGTAGGAGATCAAGAGCTCATGGTTATCCTCAAGACTTAGCAAACTCAAGACCAGCCTAGACTACCTTGAGATCCTGTTTCAAAAGCACAAAATCATGAACAAATACGATAGTCCTATCATATAAATGTATGGCTCTAACCAAAACATTTTTGTTTATTCCTCGAACCCCACAATACGAGGGATTAAACCAGGGTCTTGTATATATGCTAAGCAGCACTCTACCCAAGAGCCCCACCTGAGATGAAGCCAGGCTCTGTTTCCCAGGCAGGCCTTCTGCTTGCATTCCTCCGGCCTCAGCCTCCTTCACCTAGCTTTCGGAGCATGCTTAGCTAACTTGTCTGGGCCATCCAGCTGGAAAGGCACACACTCTAACTCCATTCCTACGGCTCCTCACCCAGATGCACTCGAGGTCTCGGGGCACACAGGATCCCTCGGGCACTAAGATGCTCCAGAAGCAAGCATCTTGCCATCCTGGGGTAATCCACAAAAACTCAAGACTGCTTGATACAGAGGAAATCTTGACTCCCGTGTATTTTTGTTCTTGTGTTTGCACACAGCGTATGTACACGTGTGTGTGCAAGACCACAGAGGATGTGGGTGTCCTGCTGTCACTCGCGTTTGTTCCGCTGAAGCGTCTCACTGGTGCTGGGAGGTTTCGGGTGTGTATAGCCATCCCTAGCTTATTTTTATTACTCTTCAAATGTTGTGGAGTGGGGCACAGGCATGTGAACTTCAGAGGACATTTTTAGGAGTCAGTTCTTCCCTGGCCCCAGGGCTGAGACTCAGGCAGTCAGGCACCTTTACCCACTAAGCCTTCTTGGCAGGCCCAATTCCCCGAGTTTTTATACGAGTTTATGTTGGGGACTGGAAATCAAGCTTATGTTCACACAGCATGCACCCTTACCCAGTGAGCCATCTTTATAGTTTCCTTCCCCTCCACCCAATACTGGGAGTTGAACCTAAGACCTTTTCAATATAAGTGCTCTATCACTAGTAGTAGCCCCAGAATTCAAGCACACTCGTATTTCAAGCTGAGGAAAGTTAAAGAACCAAAATATTAAACTATTTGACCACAATCACAGAGCTTGTAGAACAATCATACATCTAGTCTAACTTCTACCAAGTTGTAGTTGACGGACTCTTACAGCAATCAACCAGTAGAAACCTTAATTCAAGCCAGGTGGTGGTGGTACATGCCTGAAATCTCAGTACTCCTAGAAGGCAGAGGTAGGTTGACTTGATGAGTTCTAGGCCAGCCTGGAATTCCAGGATAGCCAGAAAAAAAAAAAAAAAGAAGAAAAAAAGTAATCAAGACCTAGTCTTTTTAAATTCCAGTGAATTACATCTACAGACTCAGATTTTCATTTTATCACTCTACCTAGTCTTTTTAAATTCCAGTGAATTACATCTACAGATACAGCTTTTCATTATCCCTTTATTTGTGTGACCCAAGGTTTATGAAGGCTCTCACCAACAGACCTTGTTCACGGCAGAGAATGAGAGCTCAGATCTGAATCCCGGCTTGTGTTGGGCTTCACTTCCTATGGGTGCTCATACTTCTACGTCACACTAGGGATGTTGTCCCCTACTTGCTGACATTCTTTTACAGAGCTTTTAAAAGGGCTGGACTTTCCTGACCCAGGTAAGCTGAGGTCTCAGATGGAAGGAGAGGCAAAGAATTTAGACCACAAGTCTACAATGACTCTTCATCTGTCACTTTAATTGCTCTTTACCAATCTCCCCGGAACTGACCAAAGATCAGCTCTTAAAAGAAATGCATTCAAAAAACTGGGGTCAGAACCAACCCACCCAGCCTTTTTAGCAAGCAACCACTGGTTTCCTGAGCCACTAATGCCCCCTGGTGGTCAAGCCAGACATCAACAAAACCTCAAACCAATGTTATTTAGAATTCTAAACTTTTCAAATTATGCAAAAAGGTGGGACAACAGGGGTTAGGGAGAGCCAATTATCCTACTGTACCTCTATTTTTGTAAAATAATCAATTCCCAATTTCTAGGAAAAATATATTACCAGAGAAAACAGCAAACACTATCCACTATCCCTTTCTACTATCCTATTACTGAATGCACCACATATACCCAGCAATTCCAGTCACACAATGTATGGCAAAAAGGGCGTTCATTCATAAACAAAACCAATTTTATTTAGTAAAGATATTTCCACATTTCCAAGGCAAACAGAGCCCAAGGATATATCTACATACAGTGAGGTTAGAAGCATCCCCAGATGACAAAGTGTGTAAGCATGTCACCGGCGCCTCCGAAAACCTAGAATGGAAGGAAACCAAGAGTGAGGCAAAGGCCTGCTGGGCCGCTGAAGGCCAGGAAGGAGCACTGGAAAGGGGCTCAAAGGAGGTGTGCTCCAAGCCAGTGCTCTCCCTCCTGGGACTTACAAAAGGACAAATACAGCTGAGGAGAGCAGTCCCTTCAGCTGATGTGTCTGTATTTCTATTTATAGACACCTGAACAAGAAGTTGTGGGGCCACACAAGTATAATTCAGAGACCCCCTTGTGAGTGACACTCATTTCAAGCTTGGGAAAGGCAAAAAAAGCCTAAACTGAAGAGATTAATGCTTGGTATGGAAGAAGTAGGCAAGAATGGAGACCACAATTCCCTCCCCAGATGGGTTATGCCAACTCAGACTCTCCATCTGGACACCTAGCTCCCAGTGGCTCACTGACCTTTCTTCTTCCGACCTTTCTTGGGTATCTTCTTCCGCTTTTTAACAGGGGTCTGGTCCTGGAGACAAATGGGAGTGAGAAAACAGCACTGCACCCTAAGCACCAGGACCCACCCCCAGGCTCACTGCACGAACCCCACACGTGGCTGAAAGCATGACTGCTATCCCACTGTAGCCAGACTCACTTCATCAAGATGGGCGGCTCCTCCCGTCAAAGCACTGATGTCGCTGAAGTGTGTGAGGGAGTGAAGCTGTGAGCTCATCACACTTGCTCGCTTTCGCCGTCCTTTTTCTCGCTTGCTAACACTTAACCGCACCATCATGCTCTCTTCATAATTAATCCTGCCAGAAAAAGTTTCCATATGGTTTAGACAAGGATGATGGTAACAATAATCCAGAACCAGGGTTCCAGTACTTACTCATATAAGTCGTCAGGACATTCATAGACCTTACATACGGCACTTAGCTAAGGGTATGTGTGTCGTATGTTCAATACCCAACTTCCTCCCCAAAATGCTTTCTGTTGGATCCTCCCTCATCACTAGGGATTATCCTACGGTCTAAACACTCAAGGACTTAACACTCTTAAAAGAGAATTCTCACATTCCAGCTCTGGAACAGGACTACCTGAACGGGCTCTTCTGTTTTCAGCTATAAAAACTGTACCTGAGCTGATGAGCCTGCATTCAAATTAGCTGTTTTTCTACTGTTTTCCCAAATGCACAGGGACTCTTGAGTTCCAATACAACACTCATTTTTCCTGCTTTCTACCCAAAGAACTGTGACACTGATGATGAGAGGCAGCCTATTAGAGCCCTACCACAAAGAACCAAATATCTTCTTTACTTGAGCCTAAGCAGGCAGGAGAAAAGGAAAACAAACAAAAGTAATTAAACAAAAACAGAAACAGCTTTTTCCCTAGGTCTTACTGTAATGTGAACTCATCAATCGAAAACTATTGCCCCAAGCTTTCACCCCATCTTCTATATAATGTTGGTTTTCCTGGGCCAGACTCACGTCCCTCCAAAGCATGAGGACAGAGCCCTGTGGATTGAGAGACGTTCTAAAAGCAAGAACCCAGACCTATGCTGGTCCTCCTGACTCTGCCGAGTGACGTGCGGATGCCGGGCGTCACGGATCTCCTCTGGGGCATCTGAGTACTGCTCCTTCAGCTCTCTGATGACAGAGCTGCTCAGTGCCCGTCTCTTGGCTTTTTCCAGTCGCTTCTGCTCCCGCTCAGCTTCTGTCTCATCTACACAATGAAAGTCCACAAGAGTTATTCTGGAATAGGCAAAAGAACACAGAAACAGCTCCCACCTACGAGGCAACAGCCACAACTCATACCGTAATGTACTGGAACCAAGCGTGGTGGGACATACTTCTTAGATGCTCCTTTTATAGATTTCTTTCCTGAAGCCTCAGACTGGCCCTCCTCTCCTTCATCTTCCTCTTCATCCTCAGAACTCAACTATAAAAGAAAAAAAACTTCATGAAAACTCAGAACCACCCACAGCTGGTGGACCCTGAGATAGAACCACAGATGAGGGAAGGAAGCACAACAAGCCCCCAGCTGAAGAGGGTCCTACAGGATCAGGGTCACCACAGGCTAATTTCAGGTGGACACAAGCCTGACCTTGCTTATCATATTGTTGGGATGAGGCTTAAAACGCAGCGGGTCATTCTCGCCTGAAACGGGAAACCAAGAGTTTATGAGGGCTGGAATTTCATAGCGACCCCACAACTGTATGGCGGCCCTCGCACTCACTGAGGCTGCCCGTCACTGCAGTCTTGACCAGTTTGTCAATTTGATACTTCAGTTTTTGGTCCAAGGGACGAAGTTTTTCTAAAACCTACAACGTGATAATTTAAAAGGATTATATTTTCTTTCTTAAATCAGGTACACAACAGCATAAGGTGGATAAGGGAACTGAATGCAGACAACTTCTCCTTAGTTAAATGGAGAACACTCAGGTGAGAACACCTTGGAGGGACAGCCCTGGAGTGCAGGCCTTAGATGAAGGCTCCATAACACAAAGGTCTCCTACCGTTCGAATCTCCACCAGCCTCAAAACTGCAGGGTGTCCACGCAGAGACCCTCCGGAGGCTTTGTCCAGAATGAGGTGGCTCAGATCCATCAGGTACATGAGCAACAACTGGTCTTTCACCTCCAAGAAGCTCAGACCCTGGGTCAAACAGAACAGGAGAGCCAGAGTTTTAGCCGAAGAATCAGGAGGAGCAGCCGCAGCCAGGGCAAACACCAGGAGATGTGTTCCCGAGCACAAGTTTCCCCCAACTAGCCTGTGTATCACGAATCACCCCTTTCCCTGTGTATCCACAATCAGAAGCTGTCAGTCACTCAGGAGCTACCTCGGCTTAGCACCCCAGTTCTGGGACGAGCTTTTGTTTCCAAAACCCCTATGTTAACATCCCCACCGTACATGTGAGAGCAGTGACGAAAGCAGCAAAGGGCACAAATGTGGGAAGATGAACCCTGGGCTGTGCTGCTGACGGCACACCTGAGGAGCAAGCACAGCACGTGGCCTCGGGCATCCACAGGAGGCTTAGGCACAACCCCCGGGTAGGTGCTGACCACTGCAGACGCTAGCAGAGGTGTTGCAGTGGCAGAGCAGCTGACATCTGAGTCGGCGTGATTCTCTGTGAAAGAGCGCCATCCTGCCCTAGTGCACTTCAGAGCCCCCTTGGGCTAATCTCACTGACAGGCCCTCCCAAGTTTAACCAAAAACAAAACCCTTCATATAGTGCTGACTTTTAAATTATTCAAACTAATGGCCGATTTTATCCCTATTACAATACAGATAAGACAAATGATTTATGCACACTAACATGGAACTAAATCAATGGCAACAAGTTATAGAAGGCAGTTATAATATGGTTCCAGTGGGGCTGTGTGATACATACACTTTCTAATCAACTTATTATTAGGTAAGATGTGTGCATCTGTGAGCCCATCCAACCCCAAATGCATGGAGGGCATGCATTTGTGGAGTCAGCTTTCTCCGTCCACAACTAGGTGGGTTTCACAACTGAAACAAGTCTTCAGGCTTGTACACAAATGTTTTACTCCCTCGGCCGTCTTGCCAGCTGCACATTTTCATATGCCTAAAGACAACACTCAATTAACTGGAGAAATGAGGATAATAGGGAAACAAAGTGCTTATACTATGAAAAAGTGTCTTTTCAACAGCATATATTACTCCCATTAAAACAAACAAAAAGCCAGTGTGGCAATGCACACCTTTGAGCCCGGCACTCAAGAGACAGAGGTGGGATCTCTGTGAGTTCAAGGCCAGGCTGTTCTACAAAGTGAGCCGAGGACAAGGCTACACAGAGAAACTGTGTCTCAAAAACCTAAAAAACAAAACAAAATCCAACAACAACAACAAAAAACCCAAAGAGAAAGAAAACCCAGGTGCAGTGAGTGCAGTGCAGCGCACGTGTGATTCCATGACGGGAGGAGAAGCAGGAAGCTCCACCAGGAGCTCAAGGCCAGCAAACTCCAGGCTCGCCTCGGCTACTACGAGCCTGTCTCAAAAAACCAGGAAGAAAACTAAATCAAGCATGTGCCCAAGTGGAACTACACTGTTTGTTTTTAATTAAAACTGTGCTGTGCAGCTGTGAGCTGTAGCTCAGCAGCTGCATGCTTATCCCCAACACCAAATGTTTTATATTTACAGTTAGAAGAAAAAAAATCAAGCAAACACGTAATAGTTACCTTTGTAGTGAGTACAGGCCTGGGAAAATGCACTCCTGACAGGTTAAATACTTTGACTAGAATTACACAGCAAAGGTACAAATGCCAGTCACACTCAGTCCAGCTTCCCGGCCCGAGCCCGGGCATCCCTTAAACAACATGCTCCGCTCTTTCTACCAGCCCCAGTGTGCTTCAGAGGACGAGTCATAGGGTTGAGTTTAAATCACAACTTAAACAGTGGTTAAGTCGCCTGAACATGAGACTGCATTCTCCTCGTGTATAAATAAATAACAGTATTTCTATCCCACCCTAAGAAAAAAAATTGAAACTATACAAATAAGATAGCACAAAAGCACCCTGTAATCTGAAAAGCACTTTATAAATGTCTCTGATCATAAAAGCTAATCTAATACACACCTGTTCTACAGATAAACAAATATACACTGTGGTATGCTAGCAGCTTAGTACTAAACGTATCAGAATACTACCCAGGTGAGAACAGAAGTGGGACTCTTCTAAAGCACTGCAAACTGGGTTACAATTATATGAGAAAAATTAATACTAAAAAAAACAAATAAATAAAGCTAGGCGTAGTGGTGCATGCCTTTAATCCCAGCACTTGGAAGTGCAGAGGCAGGCAGACCTCTGTGAGTTCAAGGGCAGCCTGGTCTACATAGTGGGTTCCAGGACAGTCAGCGCTACATAGTGAGACCCTGCCTCAAAAACCGAAACAGAAACCCAAAACATACAAACAATACAAAAAAACCCCAGACAAAACAATAACAAGTAAGAAAAGTAAGATTAGGGGCTGGAGAACTGGCTCAGTGGTTAAGAACACTGCCGCTCTTCCGGAGGACCTAGGGTTCAATTCCCAGCACCCACACGGCAGCTCACAAGTGTCTGTAACTCTAAAATCTGACACCTACAGACATACATGCAGGCAAAACACCAATAAGCATAAAATAAAAATAAATTAATAAAAAAGCAAGTGGTAGGAAAAAGAGTATTATTTAAAATGGTAAATTATTCTAAAAATACACAAATCTGCTATGGCTCTCATGCTTTAAAAATAAACAAAAATAGAAAGCAAAGATCTCATCCTTTCTGATAGACTATAGCGATTTTCATTTACCTACGAAATATTCTGAGTAAATATTATCTTGTATTGGTTGTGGTGCTCAGCCTAGCCTGGTCTACACAGCGAGTCCCAAGACAGCCAGGGCTACATAGTGAGATCCTGTATCAAACATAAACATAAACATAAACAAACCATACATACAAAACAACAACAACTGAAACTTGGGTCAAAAGTTCAATATATAAAACTGCTAAAGCATGGTAGTTCCTGCCTGTATCTTAGAATTGAAGCGGTGGAGGCAGAAGGATCATCAGTCAGTCAAGGTTTCGGGGAGGCTGTTTCAAAGGTCCAAATACAGTAACAGCAGAGCCTTCCAGGTCATGAAGGTAAAGGAGTCAAGAGCTGTCCTCCACGGACACAAATAATCCCCAAGAATGTTCTATGAACTTCCGATATTTTGATATTTTTTTCTTCAAATTTTAATTTGAAAGCTAGCTTATTTTACTGCACATCACAGAAGCTATCATCCTAGCAGTTGGAAGGTGGAAGAGTAAGATCATGAGTTCAAGGGCAGCCTGTGTTTCATAGCACCCTCCAATTTAAACAAACAAAAGAATTGGAATTGAAATGGAAAAAAGGCTCAAGGAAGAGGAGATGCATCTAATTTTCGGATGCATGATCTTTATATTTTAGTACCTCAAATTAGGATGCATCTTTCAGTCAATGGCATCTTGTCAAAGATTAATAACATTTTTATCCACAAGTGACGCATTCCACAAATGCCAATGAACGTTTGCAATGGCAGAGAACTGAGTCCTGTCTGCACTGTTCTTCCTAAGCACTTATACCAATGACAAGTTTTAACTTACAAACCTGGAATAAGAGACTAACAAGAACTAGCAATATCGAATAACTGGTAACTGTATACTCGAATAAGTTACTTAAAACTTCAGGGCTATAACCGAAATTTTACATTTAGTACCATGCCCCAAACTACCAACATCTAAGACTATATGAAACAAAAGAGCAATTCCTCAGTTGCCCTACATGGCTTCCCAGAGTAACTACTCCAACGTTATGTCTTACCCACATCACACACACATATAAAATGTACGAATATCCACCCACAGAAATGATTTACTCCCCCAGAACGTTGCAATTGTGAGTACTTCTGGCTTATATTTATTCTTCACAATCCTGCTACCTTCTCTGAGATACCTTTTTTGACTCTCTGCTCAGCTGGCATATCACTCCTCGTGACTTCTGTAACATGACTGCCACAATTCGCATCTAGTCCTCTGGTCTGCATTCCTTCCTACCAGACTCCAGCACAGAACCCAGATGAAGTTCTCACACTTAGGACATATATACCACACAATAAATCTCCAGCAAAAACAAAACTGTCAAGCACAACATATGAGGAGATACTCCCTCTTCAAGTAACCCCCCTCTTTTTAAGATTTATTTTTATGTTTGAGTGTGTGAAGGGTGCCTGTGGAGACCAAGACATATGGGGATCCCCTAAAGCTGGAGTCGTGAGCCACACAGACTTGAGAGCTGGGAACCAAACTCAGGTTCCCTGGGAAGGGTGACAAGCCGCCTCTCCAGGCCCTCTGCAAGAACTCTTACCTTCTCTGTAGAGTATGTCCCAGCTCGAACCTTTTTTGTCAGTGCTTGTATTTGTGCAGTTACAGCCATCACCTGAAATTAACCAAATTAAGTCAGAATAGCTCACTGGACTACAAGTAATGTTGCGAACAATGAAGGATAAATATTAGATAATGCCACAAAAAAAATATCAGAAAGATTGTTGCTGAACACCACTGAACAGAGGGTTTCCTAACAGTCTTCCAAGAGGCAGAGAATTGCTGGGGATGGGGATCTTTAAGAAGGATGTGGACCATTAGGAAAGCAGACTGCGGGGTATAATTTTAACTGTACCAACAGAACTTACAAAACATCAAACTGTGTAAATGTTTAAGTGGCACCTATTGTCAACACTGGTCACTACTGTCAACATCTGTTTTCTTAGTTATTTAAATAAAGGAGTTTGGGTATAAAGTTTCCTGCATTTGTGTGCTGAAATGAATTACTCTGCGGGTTCATGAAAAGCACGAAAGGGCTTTAATTTACACTTAATTTTTTTTTTCAGTATGTCCCTAGATCATCAAAGTGTGTGGAGGAGACGTCCAGAGTCAAAGTTAACTCCTGACCAATTTATTCTAAAAGGAGGGCACTGCTCACCTGCTCCTGGAGGTTTTTCAAGAGCGTTACCGAAGTTGGCACGTCCGACTCCAGCACCTCCTACAGTCAGGAGGGGACAGGAAAGCGCGGTCAGTTCCTTACTTGGGTAGTCTCTCCCGCACGGAGACAGGGAGCCACGGCTCGCCCACTACACTGCTCATTTTACTGGAGGCCTCAGCGCCGGACTTCGCGGTTGCTTTTGCCCGGCGTCGCCGCCGCACTGGACACGACAGCTACCTCTCCTAACGCTCTGGAAACATCCTCCCACCTCTGCATCTGACCCTCTCTCATCTGACTCATAACGCTGCGGAGTCAGGGGCGAGCGCACCCCCGAAGCGACCTTCACCATCACCCTTCCACGGTGCCGGCGGTGTGCCTCGGTCCGCGGAGGCTAAAGGAACTGTCTATCGCCGCTACGGGAGGAAGCAACGTGTCAAAACTCACCGGAGCCGCCATCTTTACAAAGCCCACCCTTTCCGGGCCGAACTTCCTAGCCGCTAACGCGAGTTCACGGATTTGACAGACAACCGCAGCTTGCAAATTTCAGCCAATGGAAATAGGAGATCTTTCACTTCCGCTAATCAGAGGGGCGGGACCTCATCTGGCCAATGGGATAGAGAGACTGACTAACTTCGTCAGACGCAGAGGCGTGCTGAAGATGGGCAGGGCCAGAAGCATGTGATTAGAGGTTTACAGAGAATGACTGAAGCGACTCCCAATAGAAGCCGCGCACATGATTGATTGAAAGCTAGAGCGACCAATGGAAAGAAAGGAATGAGCCACGCAGCCCGAGAGCTCATTGGCTCCCAGATGCCGCAGTGCCAGGGTTTCCACGGCATTTTCCGTGTAGTACCAGGACAGACCGCTGGGCGGCGGCCTTCGGCTTTGCTCTGGGGCGGCGGGGTCGTCCTTGCCCTTGCCCCGTCGGCTTCCAGTGCCCCCTCCCTGGTTCCGGGAGCGTCCTGGTCCGGTGGAGGCCTTCTCGTCGTGAACGAGACGGCTGGGGGGAGGAGCTGCGGGGCCGCCCACCCGGTGCATGCGCAGACGCTGCGCAGAGGCCGCGGTGCGCTCCGCGCGCCTCTCCGGGAAAGCGCGGCCGCGTCGACCGCAGGACCCGGTCGAAGCCGGGGCAGTGCCCGCTTCCTCGGTCCCCCTCGTGTTTCCTCAGCGTCCTCCAGCCCCCCCCCCCCGCCTGTCCCCGGCGGCTGGGGCATGGCAGCCCCCATCGTCCGCCTCGCAGCATAGAGGGTAGGGGGTGGCCCTGGGCCTGGGTTTTCCTCGCTCAGCCCCAGAGCGGACCGGCCTGGAAGCCTGGTCTCCCCCAGCCGGCCTCCGCGAGTCCACGTTCGGGGACCCCTCTCTCAGTAGACGACACGGAAGCCATGGCTCGGTGGTCAAGAGCACACATTCGTGCGGGGACGTGCGGGGCCAGCGGGGCCAGCGGGGCCAGCGTCTCCAGCACCCCCGTCCGGCAGCTCCCACTACCTGTAACTCCAGCTGCTGGGGATTCTCAGCCCCTTCTGTGACACACAGGCGTGTACATAGTCATTTCTTTTTTAAGCAAGAAATAGTACTCCGCTTGTATCTTGAATTCGGGGTAGCTTCTCCCAGTTTCCACGCATTTAGGCGCCACATAAATGAGGCAGAGGAATTGCCTATGATACCTGCTGCTTACTTGTTCCTCCCAGAGGAACCTCCTTCCTCAGAGCGCTGTAACAACCTCCTTAGTCAATTAAGAGTTTTGTATTTTTCTGTCTTTATATATATATATATATATATATATATATATATATATATATATATATATA